AATAAAGTCAACAAAAGTTCAGATTTCTTTTGGCCAGACTCGAGTACAGATTTCTTTTGGCCATTCGTGCAAAGTTGATGCTTTTTTTGGCTGAATTCTCATTTATAAATGTACCTCCTCTTTTCTTCGTTGTAGACAACTAAAAAGTTAAACTTCAATTTAAATATAATATATACATATAATATATATATATATTGGTATTATTATTATTTTAATAAAAGCTTAATTGAGTATTGCATTTTTATATTTATATAGGTTTTTTAAGTTTACGCATGGTAGCAGAAAAACCAGTTATGGTCTAGATAAAATAGTGCTACAAATTAGAAAAAAAAAAGAATTGTGCACAATCGAAAGAGTAATTCCATCGGTGAAAAACTCTTAAGAATATCTGTCTTCACGTAATTTTAATATTGGTGGTTAAGGACCATATTATCATTTCGAATCCTCTAAACCATTCTAAAGTTTTAGAAAATATCTTATCAAAGCACCTATAATTTTTATTTTTATTTCTAAATTTTTACTAAAATCCCTCAAACAACTTCAAAACAAACCTAAACCCCACAAAAAAATAAAACACTTTAAATCGCTAAAACTCTTAATTCAATACACTCTCCTAAGAGTATTTATATTGATATTATAATGTAATTTTTAAATAATTAAATTTATTTGTTTTTTTTAGAATCAATCTATTTATTTAATGATAGTTGGCAACAAAAGATTTAAAAGGTATTTAAAAATCTAAGATGAGATACTTTTTCTTGTCTCTTTCCTACTCTTTTTAGTTGTTTTGTAGCAAGATACCAGAAATTAAAATCTCAAGATCTCATTCCCGATTATGGGAAAGGTTGCAAATCTCAACACAAAAAAAAAAAAAAAATAGGGAAAACATCAAAGTTGACCAGAATTATTCAAGAATATTTATGTAACCATATATTTATGTAATCATCCCTTATATATTAATTATGGAGCATTGTAACATTTTTTGGTAGCTACGTGTCACGATAAGAATGATTTTCATAATTCTTAGAAAAATATGTTGTCCAACTAAACATATGTTATATTTTTATTAAACTAACTATCATACTTAATTAGTTGTGTACAAAATAATATTCCTTATTCTTTCTTTAAATAAAAGTTACGAAATTACCTAATATGATTATCATATATATAACAATTAATGTTTATGAAGAATAAATATTTGATAACATTTTTATCCTATTTACTTCTTATTTTATTTTATATTATTAAAATAAATTAAACAATTACATTAATAATATAATAAAAATATTTATATTTTTTATATACAATATTTTGAATTTTTCAAAACGACCATAACTTACTAAAAATGGTAAAATATCTCACATTGCAAATTTTGTGATCAATGATATTAGTTCATCCAATCGTTTTTAATGTCTTAAACAATTTATAATGATTAACTAAATGAATTCATAATAGAGTGTGTTTTGTTTAAAAAATTTTGTATACCCAAAATCATTATGAACCATCATCTCTTTCGTTTAAAGTTTTGTTACAATAATATATGGTTGGACAAAAAATTGAATCCAGATAACCAAACCAAATCTAATCCAAAGTAGTATAATTTTTAACCAAAATTGGTTAGATATCCAAACTGATTTGAAATTTTGGTATCTATAGAACCAAAACTGAATCGAAATATTTCGGGTATCCGAATGTACTCGAACCAGATTTATATACTTAAATATATTAATTATTTTTAAATTTAGCATCTAGAAATATACAAAATATATGAGATGTTTTAAAATTTTCCAAAATACTTAGAAGTATATAAAATAGTTAAATGTACATTTTTAAAATAGCTAAACGATACTCCAAATACCAAAAATATTTGTCTTATTGATTTTTTGTCTAGATATTTAAGATAAACCAGTTTTATGTTAAATTAAAATATTTTGGTATTTATTTTTCAAATTTATATGTTCTATATTTATTTTTACTTTTAAGTTTTGAGAAATTTAAAGTATATATGAACTTTAATTTATTTTAAAAAAATTAAATGGTTTCTCTGAATCTAACCCAACCCGAACCTACAAAGATTCGAACCAAACCGCAAAGATCTTAACCAAACATAATCTAATCGAACCAAATGGTACCCAAATGTTTATCTCTAATCAAATATAAAAAATAATTATTGATAAAAAAATATGTATTTAGATATAACATATTTTTAAAAAGTTCATTCCCACATAACACAGATTATCATCTAGTGTTAATTATTTTGGTAACTATAATTATAGGGAGCATGACTGCATGAGCACGAGCATCTACTCCATTCATCGTATTCTCGCTTCTAGGAAGAACACGTTTTGGAAGCAAATCATATCTTCTTGTATAATAAAGTATAGTTTTTTTCTCTAAACAAAGAAAAATATAACATTTGTCATTCAATCATTTAGATTAATTTTATTAACACCACATTAAATTGTTCATAAATGTTTTATAATAAATCATATCTTTAACACCAATCAGTTATAATTTTTATAATCATAAAAAAATTTCATACATAATTGTTATTAAATAAAAAAATAAATAAAATTCAGTTATACTGATATATTTGATATATTTAAATTTTTATCTTAAAATTATGCAAGATAGATAAACTCAATAATAAATATCATATCATCTTAATATATATTACCTCATTTAAATATTATAATTTTAATAATTTTGCTAATTAAATATATAAAAATTGCTTTTACGTAACTATAAAATGTTACTAATAAAATTTTAAGATTTACATGTGTGAAGAAATTGAAAAGTGCATAAACTTACATCATAAAATAAAAAGACAGCATATTTACAAAAATAAATCATAATTAATAAATTTGATTGTGCAAACATATTTACAATATATATAAATAAAATAATTATATAAATCAGAGATTCACGATAATAATCTGTTTGACTTTCTCAAAACCAAATAACCGCGGCAATACATAACCAAAAACAAACACAAACAACAATATGTTTAAGTTTCAAATTTTATTTTTAAATAACTATAAAATGTTATTAATAATCTTTTAAGATTTACATGTGTAGAGAAATTGAAAAGTACACAAACATACATTATAAACTAAGAAATACATCATATTTTAAAACTAAAACATAATTATTTAATTTCTTTATGCTCGTTTATATTTATAATATAGATAAATAAAAAATAATCATATAAATCAGAGATCCACAACAATAGTCTATTTGACTTTCTCAAAATCAAATCACCGTGGTAATAAAACCAAACGAAAACAACAATATGTTCAAGTTTCAAATTTTGTTTTTAAATAAATATAAAAATTTATTAATAATCTTTTAAGATTTACATATGTGAGCAATTGAAAAGTACACAAACTTACATTATAAACTAAATAATACATAATATTTTTAAAATAAAACATAATTAATAAATTAGATTATGCAAATATATTTATTATATATATAAATAAAAAACAATCATATAAATCAAAGATTCACGACAATAGTCTGTTTGACTTTCTCAAAGCCAAATCACCTCGGCAATGCAAAACCAAAAACAAACGCAAACAACAATATGTTCAAGTTTCAATTTTGTTTTTAAATAACTATAAAATGTTATTAATAATATTTTAAGATTTACATGTGTGAAGAAATTGAAAAGTACATAAATATACTTCATAGTCTGAGAAAATACAGCATATTTTAAATTAAAACATAATTATTTAATTTGATTATGCTAATATATCTATAATCGAACAACTCTTTCAAAATATATTTTTAAAAATAAATGTAAATCAGTTAATCTCTAACATTAAAGATATCCTTAAAGAAATCTTAGGAGTTATCATCTCTCGGGTTAACTAATTCATAATTTCATGCGATCATCACCAATCGTTGATAAAGTGGTTCAAAAACCCAAACAGAAATATCGACAAACTATGACGTTTTAAGCCACATCATTTTTTTTAATCAAAAAAAAAACCACACCGTTTACGTTCTTTGTCACTAAATAATATATTATCGTTTTAACTTTCACATATTATTTCCCTCAAAGTATTCGCTCAGAAAAATTAAATTTTATTATACATACAAAACAACCACACTTAGTAAACAATATATCACAACTACAAAAGCTTAAGTACAATTCAAAAAATTGATTTTCATTCTTAACCGATTATACAGTGACTTAAACTTTCCACAAGTAAACAACTATAACCTTAATAGTAAATCAAATTTTACAGTTAGAACGATTATAATTGATAAAATAAATTTTTAATATAAAAATGTAAAAAGAAGACATTCCGCGTGTAGAGGAGATTGACCACTAGTTTTGAATGAATCTAAAAATGAAAATAAATGAGAGAAAACATTAAAAGTTTGACTAGTGCATCTACTACCTCCGTTTCAGAATATATGTCACTCTAGTTTATTTTTTTGTCACAAATTAAGTGTCGTTTTAGAGTTTCGAGGCAAAATTTATTATTTTTATATAATATTATATTTTTCTATTGGTTGAAAAGTGGTTAGGTGTATAGGTAATTGTGTTTTTATCTTGGAAATATATAAAATTAAATATTTCCTTAATCTGTGTGCAAAAATCTTGAATGACAACTAAAGTGAAACGGAAGGAATAACATTTATGTCAATTAATTTACAAAAAAAACATTTATGTCAATTGTTTTGTAGTTTTTAGGGAATAAGAGAATACGTGTATTACTCTTCATATCAAATCATAATGATATTTATAAAATTTGAACAGAAAACAAATATCTTTTTGGACTAGTGTTGGGATCTTAAAAACAAACTGACACGTATCAAATTTGACCACGGATATTGAACAATACTTATGTTAACTATTTTGGTAATATTGTAGGACATGCTTCGTTAACTTATACCTGTCTCTTATTCTTCATTGTATTTATAAATTTGCCTTCTCTTCTCTTCATTGTAGACAACTAACCCCTTCCCCCCCCCCCCCTCCCTAAAAAATGACAAAGACAAGCTTGTTTCTAGTTGCAATACTTCTTAGCTTGATGGTCATTACATCTCTTGCACAGCCAGATCCTACTCTTGGCGCACAGGTTTTAATTTTATGGTGAACTTATTTTATTAGACTTGGAAAATTATTAAACCTACCAATTAGATCACTTTACATATACATTTTGGCAGAAGAAAACTATTAAACTTTATAGAATCCAGTTAATTATTTATATTATATCATTTTATTAAAATTTACTAATTCTTTTTTTTTTTTCAAATGTTCTTAAAGGGAATAGAAATGAAGGATAAATGTGAAACAAATGAATGTATAATAGACGCTCCGTGGACTGCTCATCTGGATTACGCTCCTCATCACGACAGGCCGCCAGGTCATTGGGCGATTCCACCACCAAAGCTGGTAGATGACATTGATACTCATGTGGTTAAGCCAAATTATTGAAATCGGTTTGCTTTTAATCTTGTAATATTATATGTAACGTATTATATAATAAATTAAATTTGATAAAGATCATGGAATTCATTTCTTAGAACTAATATATACTAAATCATGCATAAGAAACAACAATTAATATATAACATACATAATGCTTTCATAAGGATGGTACAATATGATTTCAAATATTATAAAATTTGTGTTGTTCAAAGAATGATATATAACCTATGCTCATAATGATGATTATCAGCTTTATTTCGTAAACAATGGTTACTGAATAGATTTTTGACCCACGCGGATACCATTTTTGTTGTTTTATCTACAGATGGATCGATAAGTTTCTTGCTTTGATGATATAAAATGTCATTATCTAATATAATATTTTTAAAATTAATGCAGATTTTAATTTATTGTCATCATCAATATATATGTAAATGTATTGTATGTAATTGTGTAGTTTTACTATGGGAAAATAATATCAATTAACTACGTCTGATGCTGGGAAGCGGATCAAACTCGCCTTGCCTGACCCGTCTAACCCGTAAAGAAAATATATTTTATCTGCATCCCTCCCACTTAATTTTACGCGTAATCCGCGGATCCCGCACACCATTATTAAATAATAAAGATAATTATTTTTATTATTAAATAGTATATTTTAATTAATTTTTTAATATTTAAATTATAATAATTATTTTAACAAAATTTAGTATATTTTGTTTAAGTACTTGTTTTTAAAACAAAATTTCTATTTTTTGTGGATTACCGGCTACCCACAATTGAAACTAGAACAATCCACCTCCGTTTCGCGTAAAATACATTTGATCCGCACCTGCGCCCGCATCCGCACCTGCAACTTAATTTCTTCAAATTGATCGACCCGTTTCGTGGCGGGTCAAACGAGGGCGAGACTCGCAGGCTAATATAAAAAATTTCAGCTCTAACTACTTCAATTAAAGTTAAAGTGTTTATTTTTAAAGAAATTTAAGAAATAATTAAAAATTGAATCGAGCCCGTTAACCTCATTAATATATAGCTTTTAGGCTCAAAAAGAAAAGATAAAATTGCCATTAATGAAAAGTTAAATTTGCTCATAAGATTAAGAGTAAATTTGAAAAAAAAAATCTTTCATGAAAGAGAATGTTTCTGTTTTAGTGGTATTGATAAACTATGATTTACATCTATACTATTAAAGCAGAATCTTTCTTAAGAATATGTTCTTGATTTTTGAAAAAATTACAAAATCATACCATTAACTTCTATTTATTTAAATTGAAGAAACAAATATTCTCTATATCTATGGAACTAATATTTTCCATATTTTTGTCAAAGATAATAACTCTGATTTTAATGCCAATTATAACTTATTATTTAATTTGAATATTTTTTTTTGTAAATAATAATATCAAAAGATCTAATATATGTATATACCTGAAGTTTTTAATAATATTATTTATTATGTGTTTTCTACATAATATTAATATGGGAATTTTGAGTGTTCAGAAATAATTTAAAACTTATCATAAAATTAAAATTTAGATCTAAAATAAATAAAAATATAAACATAGCAGATGTTATTAAAAACAAAAGGAAACTAATATTGTCATATCAAATTTTTTTATCTTTTTCCATTACCATTGTTTCGTTTTCTTTAAATGACATAGTAAAAATTTCATCAAATTCTAAGGAATTAAAAAAATCATTTTTATAATATCAAAAACAAGAGTTATTTAATCAAAAATTTCAAAAGTATTACTAGATTTTTTGGAGTTTTGAGTGGATTAACCAATATCGGATCGCAATTTTTTTAACTTTATACCGGATTGCATCGAACTTTTAGTTATAAAAAAAAAATCATTAAATTCAAACTGGATTATACACAAGTGTCTAGATCTATCTCTTCAACCATATATCAGAATCAAATATAAACACACTACATAATTAAAAAAATCAAACATTATAATAAAACAAATTTTTGAAATACTAATAAAACAATTTTTAAATTCTTTGTTTTTTAATAGAAGCAAATATTCTCTATATCTATGGGAACTAATATTTTCCATATTAGGTAATAATTTTGATTTTATGGCAATTATACTTTCCATTTAATTTTAATATAGGTTTTTGTAAATAATAATTTTAAGAGATCGAATATATGTATATACATGAAGTTTTTAATAATATTATTTACTATGTATTTTCTACATAATATTAATATGGAAATTTTGAGTGTTCAAAAATAATTTAAAACTTATCATAAAATTAAAATTTATATCTAAAATAAATAAAATATAAACATAGCATAGGTTATTAAAAACAAAAAGAAACTAAGATTTTCATAACAAAAGTTTTTGTCTTTTTCTATTACCATTATTTTGTTTTCTTCAAATGACATAATAAAAAATTCATCAAATTCTAAGGAATTAAAAAATCAATTTTATATAATATGAAAAACAAGAGTTATTTAATAAAAAATTCAAAAGTAATATTAGCTTTTTGAGTTTTTAGTGGATCAACCAATATTGGATCGCAATTTTTTTAACTTTTTACCAGATTGCATCGAACTTTTAGTTAAAAATTATTTTTTCATTAAATTCAAATTGGATTATACACAAGTGTATAGATCTATCGCTTCAACCATATATCTGAATTAAATATAAACACACTACTTAAAAATCAAACATTATAATAAAACAATTTTTTGAAATATTAATAATAAATTTTTTAAATTCTTTGTTTCTAATAAAAGTTATAGATTTAATCAAATTTTATTAAACAGGAAAATACCCGCGCTTTTAAAGCGCGGGTCAAAATCTCGTGTTTCTTTATAACTCAACATCATTTCCTGAATAATTAGGAAGTTTGGGGTCGAAAGCCCGTACATTAATTATCATAAACTTATGGATTTTTAACATAAAAACCCCTCAACTAAATTTGTTTTGGGTAAAAACCCCTAAACTAAGTATTTAATGAAAAAACCCCCAAACTAACTTTATTTAGTGAATTAAACCCTCGCCGGTCATAATTACCAGTACTACCGGTAAATCTTTAGCTTAGGGGTTATATCATTAAACATAATAATTCAAAAAAAAAAAGAAAAAATCAAAATATAATAACATTATCTAAAAATTCGTAATTTTAATTTTCAAAACTAGCATTTTAAAATTTTCTGTAAATATATGAATGATTTCTTATTCTTGTAAAATGGATTTTTAACTCTAAAATACCTTAACTAAGTTTGTTTTCGGTAAAAACCCCAAACTAACAAGTAAACCCCCATATTAAACATAGTTGAAGGGTTTTTATCCTTTAAAATCTAAAAAAAAATTATAACATTATCTAAAAATTAGTAACTTAAATTTTTAACATTAGCATTTTGCAAACTTTCTGTAAATATATGAGTTTGATTTGTTTTAACATCAATATTATATATATATATAGATTAAAATTTTAAAACACCAAAATATAATAAAAAGCATCTAAAGATTTATTATTACATTTTTATTAAATAAGATATAGTTTTTATTCTGTTTTCTTGTTTTTATATTTATAAATTTTGATAATTTTTATTACAGGTAAATCTTAGATAATTTTTCTTAGATTTTCTTGGTTTTTACATTTTAAATTTATACATATATAATTTTGATTTTAAAAGGATAGCAAATCAGACTCATATAGTTACAATTTTTTTTTTAAATGCTAGTTTTTAAAATTAAAATTACAAATTTTTAGATAATGTTATTATATTTTGAATTTTATTGATTTTTATGTTTAATGATTAAACCCCTAAAGTGAAGATTTATCGGTAGTACTGGTAATTATGACCGACGAGGGTTTAATTCACTAAATAAAGTTATTTTGGGGATTTTTTTATTAAATACTTAATTTAGGGGTTTTTACCCAAAACAAACTTAGTTGAGGGGTTTTTATGTTAAAAATCCTAAACTTATTAATCCCAAAACCTTATGCCATGCTCATTTTGTATCTTTCTTCAGTCTGGAGTTGTTTAGATAAAGGCTTTGGATTTGTGAGTTGAAAGCCAAAGGAAAGCTCTGATAGCAAAGACTTGGTTGTGAGTCAAGTCTCCATAAGTAGACAAACTGTAATCTGGGAAAACTTTGTCGAGTTTCAACTCTGGCATGTCTTGATAATCTTCTCTAGAGTATTTCGACTACTGTAGAGGCATCTTAAACATACTTGCTTCATCGTTCTTGCGATTTCTTTTTGTTTTTATATGTTTTGCTTCTGATGTGCCAATATGCATGTGATATGTTTATGTTCTTCTGACGATATACAGTGAAACTTCTATAAATTAATAACGTTGGGACTACACCAAAATTTTATTTTTTTATTAATTTATAGAGATATTAATTTATCGATATACTAATTGAACCAAAAACTCAATTTAGAACTATAAAATTATATTATTTTATAGAGATATTTAGTATATATTAATTTATCGAGTATTAACTTATAGAAGTTCTACTGTACAACAATATTGGAAGTGGTTGTCTACACACTTAACGTGTGAGTTTTGTCACACAGATTGGTTTGTTTACCTTCTTCACTTCCTTTTCTAAATGCATGAGCATGTGAGTGGACACATTACTATTGGATTACTCGGAAGAGTTTGATCACTTGAAAAAGTTAATTAGTCTAAGCGAAATTTGGATTCTCAATTTATATGTTCTTTCCGGATTCATTTTAAAAAAAAAAAAATTGTAGTCAATATCTATAATATATGAAAACTAGTTGTTCTGTCCGCACGTGCAGACATGATAAATCTACAAATAATTTAAATTAAATATAATATTATTTGAATTAAAATTAAAACAAATTAATATATTACCAGTTAAAATCTAGCAAATTCACTTCTAAAATAATATTATAGATAGATTCTCAAATCTAATATCTCCTCTTATTCTCATATATTATTTATCAGTTTATCTTAAAACTCCATGTCACAGATGCATATGTTTTCCAAAATCAAGCATTAATTAGCTCCTTCGTCTTCAAGCTATGCCAAGATGATTATGTTATGTATACATTAATTAGAGAATGCATATATATAAGACCGAAGGTTTGACCAACAAAAAATATCTATACAAGGCGAATGACAAACTAGAATAATAACATAGTTGATGATGACAAAAAATAGTATGATTATACTTTCCTAGCAATAATAACACTGTACCGAAACCTTGAACATGCAAAAAATAATAATTTAAGAAGTTCAAATTGGCTTATCTCAAAACCAATTAGGGATGAGTTGATATATTAGGATTGTTATATTAGTGTTGATCTTTTAAGCTATCAATGTGAGATATCAACAAAAAAATTGAAATGGTGACTTTTATCAGTCTCTTTGAACTGAATCACATTCCATAGGGTATATAACAAACTAATTTTGTATCATCATAAATACTTCAATCAAGAAATAAAATTATGACATCATGTTAAATTTGATTTTATCATGAATCTTAAATTACAATTTTATCTTCTTCTTTTTGGGGTCAAAAGATTACAATTAAGTATCATCAATAAATTAGATTAATTCTAACTTTTTATATATTAGGATTGGTTCGTTTAAACAGCCGACATTATTATTTTTTTTTAAATATGATCTCAGAAAAAAAGTTTTTCTTACCTTCTTGCATTTATTCTTCACTTCTTGGCAATTCTGTTCTACTTACAAAACAAAAACAAATCATGATACGACAAAAGCAGTGATTGCTAGCTCAGGTTCTAGTGTGCCCTACACGATGAGTCACTTTGTCTCATGGCCTGCAACGTGTAATTATAAATCATTGAAGCAACCCTACTGGCTAATTTGGCCGACGTACCTATGGACCATAACTACACTTCTTCTGCTTCCAGAAACTTCTTCACAATCTCTTGGCTTAGGTTTCGTCAGAAAACTAGCGGTACATATTGCGCCACGTATAGGGCCACCACACGTGATTTATCCTACGTGGCTACTCTCGGTCTCCAAATAATGATACGTTTCCGCGTTTTTTTGGAATATTTCTAAACACAACCCAAAGTTATTGCTACTTTCGTAACTCGCCCCTGTTATTTTCATCCACGTATAAACTCTCCTTTCTTCTTGCTCATCAATTGGTCAGTATAAACACGGTCGTGTCTTAAAACCGCTTTCTAAAGGGAAACCTATATTGAGAAAGATTACAAAATTGCATTTCAAATAAAAGTTTTGGTCCACATACTGCAAAAGAAATGTTTACTTGGCTATCATATCTCTACCAATAAATATTCTCAAGAGATATTTACTTGGCTCACATATTTCTCAAGATATTCCATATGTTTCTCTACCAAAACCCAACAACTCTGTGATCATAATTGCCTTAAAAGTAATCAAGATGAACAAAAGTAGCCATCATACCTTATCTTATGATTATTATGGGTAGCCCAGGCCAGTCTGTTTTTTATTTGTTGTTAAGCTTAGATTTCAGGTTTTTAGTAGCGTAATTTAATTAGAAAATAATTGTTTAAATATGATTTATTGTGATACCAACCAATGTCGGTTTAATAATCTAGTCATGAGCTTAATCTTTTAGTTTTTCATAATTGTCTTTAAAAATTGAACTTTTAGATATGTTTTATTTAAAACATATAGATTCAGGATCCTAATTTGGATTCACAGTAAGTAATCTAACAATAATTTGGAGGACTTTTTTGTTTAGTACAAAGCCAAAAAAAAAAAAGAGTCGGGGCTGATAACAACATAATATATGCTAATGCTAATGAAGACAAATCTTCACATAATCAGTAACTATTCAATAGTTATATACGTTAAAAACATGACATGATAGTTAATCAAACCATCTACGCTTTATAGTTTTGATTGTTTTTCCGTGCCAGCTATGTGATTAGGAGTTACGACTTACAAAATCAATTTTACTAAAGGAGGGGCTATTTTCTTATAAAACAAAATGTAGGGGTAAACTCAGAAGATTCTAAATGTTAGAGGTTTTATTTCAAAACACATTTTTTCCCCATTCTCATAAAAAGGCCCATCAACTTCTCAGCCTATACATACACATCCCTTAACACACGTCAACCTCTCTAAAAACTCTTTAATTTCAATTCCCTCTTTCTGCTTTCTTCCTCAAACCGAAATGAATGGCGACGGAAAATCGGAGGCCGGCGAACCAATGGAAGACGAGGAGGAGCTACTAACTCAGAGAACGGTGTATATGTGGGGTTACTTACCCGGAGCCTCGCCGCAACGCTCGCCTCTGTTGTCACCGACCGTGGTCAAGATTCCGCCGGCAGTCGAAAGCTCATGGAAAGATGTATCCGGCGGAGGATGCGGTTTCGCAATGGCTACTTCAGGTTTTTCGATCTTAATCAAGTTTCACATTTGCAATTGAAGTTTTGTATTTGATTACTTTTAATTGTTTTGGTTTAATTTGGTTTGGTTTGGTTTGGTTTAATTCAGAATCGGGGAAGCTTATTACATGGGGCTCAACAGATGATTTAGGTCAAAGCTATGTCACATCAGGGAAGCACGGGGTAAGCTTCACTATAACCCATCTTTATTACGGATAAAATATATTTGAGTAATATATAAAAGATTATCACTAATTAGTTTTAATTTAATAATTTTTAATATATTATTATTGTTTTTTTCTTTAAATTAGAAGAATTTTCAATTTAGGATGAATGATATTTCATACTCTAAATATAGAAGAATGATATATCTTATTCTACAATATAAAAGGAATGTTATATTTTACTCTATATAGAAAAAGTATAGACTTGGGTTTGGACATGTTCTAGAAAATTTTCTACATTGTGCATGAAAAATCTATAAAATTAAAACATTTTAAGCTTTACTATAACCGTCTTTACTAGGAATAAAGTATCACACATCGAAAAATTTAATAGGATCTAAAGGTTTAGGACCAATCCACTTACCACTAATTAGTTTTACTCTAATAATCTTCAATGTATTATTTTATTTTTTTTCTTGAAAATAGAAGAATTTTAACAAGGAGGAATGATATTTCATACTCTAATATAGAAGAATGATATTTCTTACTCTACAATTTTGAGGAATGTTATATTTTACTCAATATAGAGAAAATATAGACTTGAGTTGGTGGACATGTTCTAAAACTTTTTCTACATTGTGAATGAAAAATCTATATAATTGAAACACTTTCTGAGTTTCTAGTCGAGTTTTCTCTTTTATAGGAGACTCCAGAGCCTTTTCCTCTTCCTCCTGAGGTTTGTGTACAGAAGGCTGAAGCTGGATGGGCTCATTGTGTGGCAGTTACAGGTGACTGACCTGATGTTTAGTTAGCTTTGACCGTTTCTGCTTCAAAGTTTTGTAATTTGATTGGTTTGATTTGGATATATAGAGAGCCATGAGGTTTATACATGGGGATGGAAGGAATGTATACCCACAGGAAGAGTGTTTGGACAGGTAGAAGGAGATTCCTGTGAAATGAATATCTCCTTCTCTGCAGAGCAAGGTGAATCTCCTCTGCCTGTTTTTTTTCATTGTGAAAAACTCTAGATTTGAGTGCTTTTTATTACAGTGAGTCCCAGTTCTCAAAGCAAAAAAACTAGCGGTGGAACGTCTTCTCAAACTGAGGCTAGAGGTAGACCGGAACCCACAAAGAAAAGGAGGATTTCACAGGCAAAGCAAGCTGCTGAAAACTCATCACAGTCTGAGAACAACGACCTCTCGGCATTGCCTTGTCTTGTATCGTTGGCTCCAGGAGTTAGGATTGTCAGTGTTGCTGCTGGTGGACGTCATACTTTAGCATTATCAGGTGAGATTTTCGAGCTTCTCGTACCAAATCAGTTACAGTATCTCAAGTAAGCTGTAAGAGCTTCTCTAGTGTGCTATTATAAACAGTTGATGTGTCCTGATTTTTCTGTGAAGTTTAGATATTGGACAGGTGTGGGGTTGGGGTTATGGAGGAGAAGGACAGCTTGGTTCGGGATCCCGTGTACGCTTAGTCTCCTCTCCTCATCCTATTCCGTGCATTGAGCCTTCTTCCTATGGACAAGGCAGCTCGTCTATGAGTTCAGATGTACAGTGCGGCCGTGTTCTTGGAAGTTATGTCAAAAGAATTGCATGTGGAGGGCGACACAGTGCTGTGATCACAGGTATTGTTTTCACTATATTGTTGTTCTGGATAGACAGGTATATGATAAGTGAATATAAGTGTTTAAATCCCACCAACCTAAAATTAATCTTTAACTAGGATTTTGAAATTTATTATCCTCTCTGCACTATGCCTTGGTAAAGGTTCACTAGGCTTCTTGGAGTTCTTCATAAGATATGAATAGACCCGAGAATTCGCGACACTTGAACCTGTAAAAGTTGACATATGTTAACAATAATTATCTTGCCCCTAAAAACGAATGAGTTTTGACTAATCTTTTGTGGACAGATACTGGAGCGCTCCTTACCTTTGGTTGGGGGCTTTATGGACAGGTGACCACGACAGATCCTTGGCTTTCTGTTCTAAACATATTATGCTTGAAATACTGAATAATTTGAGATTCTTGCTTTAAGCTCTGTATGTGCCTATGTGGCTTTGTCAACTGAAAGTAAACGAAAGCTAATCATCGTTGTGTTAAACTAGTCAAGAAAGATAGAAAACTATGAAAACATTGATTCGTACGAGATTTGGGTTTGATAATTCATTTAGTTAGAAAACTGCCACTCTGCATTGAAGATAAGGCTGCGAAAGATAACCGGACAATCTCTCTTACTTGACTTCTGCAGCTAGGCTCTGCATTTTGTTTTGTTATATGTTATTTAAAGTAACTGAATATACTGTTTTTGTTTTGCTCTGTGAAGTGTGGCCAAGGGAGCACGGATGATGAACTAAGTCCTACATGCGTATCCTCTTTGCTGGGAATCAGGATAGAAGGAGTCGCTGCAGGTCTATGGCACACAGTCTGCGTTTCATCTGATGGTGATGTGTATTCGTTTGGTGGAAACCAATTTGGTCAGTTAGGTACTGGTTGTGATCAAGCTGAGGTAATTAATATTCAACTCGTTATTCTCCTCAGCTCTAGTAAAGTTCATTTTGATTGATTGTGAAGAAAGTGATCCACTAAACTTGAAAGCCGTTTGTGTTTTCAGACTCTTCCAAAACTATTGGAGGCTCCAAATCTGGAAAACGTGAACGTCAAAACCATCTCATGTGGAGCTCGTCACACTGCTGTAATCGCAGGTATTCATTTTATGATAACCAAGTTAAAATCTTTTAGCTGAGAAAGACATTCATCTTAAAACTAAGAACTGCTTTGCAGATGAAGGGAAAGTATTTTGCTGGGGATGGAACAAATATGGTCAGGTAAAAAGAAGCAAACTGTTGTTTTTTGATCAAATTTCTATACATTACATCTGTTATTAATAACTCTTGATATTTTGTTGTGTGTACTGAAACAGTTGGGACTAGGAGATGTGATTGATAGGAACGCACCATCAGAGGTTAGAATAAAAGACTGCATCCCCAAGAACATTGCGTGTGGTTGGTGGCATACTCTGCTTCTAGGCCAATCCTCTCTCTGAATGTGCCCACACAACAACATCAAAAAAAAAAAAACACATCCCCAATTTTGTTAGGGTTTAGAACTTTGAGTTCATAGACAGTATTTGTACATACACGAGCAGCATTTTATTGTATGCAATGTAATGATGTATGTTCTTCTGATTAGCTTTTAACTTTTCAAACATTAGTTTAGTTTTCAAGTGAAGTTCCTTTGTTCTATACTAGTGATAGTAAATAAAGCTCTATTTGTTAATTCAACTGCAATCCAGACATAACTGGTTCTTGATTCAATATGATTCTGTGGTTGAACTGGGATAATGTAACTTAAGCTAATAATTAAAATAATAAATTTACTGAATGTAAATAATACGAAACCGAAGTAAATAACCAATTGATTCCAATGTAAATACTAATCACGTGATTATGTTTTTTTTTTTTGGGTTATTAACTACATATCCACCGGTTAGGCGATTGGTTTTTGCTTTATCAAACGAAACCAAAAGGAACCAATTAACCCGAATATATGTTAAAAGACGTTTTACTCTCCGATCCAGTTCATCGACGACGAAACATTCATAAATCCTTTCTTCTCCGATCTGTAACAAAGGTCTTACCTCATCCCTTTTTTCTTCTCAAGTCCGTGAAATCAGATTAGGTTCAATTCGAAACTGGTTGATTGATTTGGTTTTGGGGATCGGAACGAAATGTGTTTAGGTAATAATCAAATTGTGATGATGGGAATGAGTAAAACAGAGATCAATTTGCGGAGATTGCTTTCCGCTGCACCTAATCAGCAAAATCAATCCAAGCTTATGCATGTAACGTCTCTCTCTCTCTCTCTCTCTCTCTCTCTCTCTCTCTTCAAGTTTTAACCTTTTAGAAACTAATGAAGCTTTTGATGTGTAATGTGTTAGTATGTAGCTACTATGAGGGAACAATTGGAACAAATCTCTGAAGAGAAGACTCCTGATGGTCTTCCCAGGTTTAGTTTCACCAATGCCATTCATGTCTTTTTTTTTTTTTTGTTCAAAAAGATTCCTTGGGAATTAGAACAACTAGATTTGTTTTGTTTTCATAAATCATGTCTTTTTTTTTGTTCAAAGATATGTATATCTCTTTATATGATCTAAAGGTTTTTAGATCCGAATTGAATTTGCATTTGGTGTCAATAAGAGTCTCCAAGTACATGTTTTTTGGGCTAAAGAATAAAGCTTTTTCCTATGAAATATGTTCAATTGATGTGGAGAATTGGGTCTTGTTTCCTGATTTTTTTTTTTTTTTTTTTAATGACGAGAATGCGTTTATCCTCTTTTACAGAGTTACGAAGGCTAAGGTGAATGAGTACTATGAGAAGATTGAAGCTGTTGCTTCTAAGATATCTGCTCAAGTGGTAATTCACTTGAAACTAGTTTAGAGAGACTCTTCTTTTTCGATTCATATATAATAAGTCCTAGCTTAGACGCCTTCCTCCTGTTTACTTCCCTTATCTCTTTACTAGATGCATTTGTTCTGAGAAAATTGTTTGGACTTTACTTGTTTCCCCCATGGATTTAGTTTCAGGAATTGCACATTTTGATTTTGTTCTGACATCTATGTTTAGAACCGTTCATAGTTAGAGGATTTCAAAGCTTTACTTGTGTAACTAATACCAAGTTAGTGAACTTTTTTTTGGCCAAATTTACAGCCTGAGACAGAGGTATCTGATGAAACTTTGCCAAAGGATACTACCAGCGGAAGCTCTCCTAAAATAGAAGACGAGCCTCGAAGCCCAACTTCTCCACAGCTGAGAAGAAGAATTGTGTAAGTTGGAATCATTTGTTTCGCATCCTTCTCAACTTGTTATTATTTCTTTTAAAAACCTCCCTTGATTGTGATATATAGGTCTACAAGCTCCAAGGAGCAAAGTGTTGATGCTGGTCCGTCAAAGGCACTAAAACTAGACACTGCAGCTAAAGAACACATCGACAAGCACAGGTATTTCATACAACACTGAGAAAAAACTAGGAAACTCATCCTCATTTTATAATTGTTCTATAGCGATGAGTAAAACGTGAGTTGAAAATTTCTGTTGCGATGTCAGAAAGCTTCAGGAGGATCTCACTGATGAAATGGTGGGACTTGCGAGACAACTCAAGGAGAGAAGTCTGATGATAAGCCAATCCGTGGAAAATACTGAGAAGGTTAGATACTAACACAGCCCTTCCATTGTTATTGGTATTATCAACAACATTGGGAGATAAGAGAAGACTCTTTGTTGGTTCTGTCATATATTGGTTTTCATCGCTTCACTGGTCTTACCTTATTTTCTTTATTTTGTTGTTGTGTGATTCATCAACTAAAGATACTCGACTCTACGGAGGAGGCCATTGAGCAGAGCTTAGCGAGCACGGGACACGCAAATGTAAGGGCGTCAAAGATATATTCAGAGAGTTCAAAGACGAGTTGCTTCCAGTGGCTATTGATCTTGGCCATGATCTGTGTCTTCATAATGGTTGTCCTGTTGATCCGTGTCACATAGAAACAATATGGTTCCGAGTGCAAAACCAAGATTTTAAGATAACATTTCAGTCTCTTTATTATATAATACACCGTTGTTAAATTAAAAGAAACGTACGCCAATTTAAAACCAAACCATAAGCCCTTGAAGCACAAATTAATGCACAAAACATAATGTTATGGAAAGTTAAAATAAAAACATTCTGTCATTGACTACAGAGTTAACAATGGAGAACAGATTAGTGTAGAAGCATTCCACTTGTGGTCACTGTGATGGGCATGATTTTTTCAGTAAAGCTAATAAAAGGTTCATCTCAAAATGTTTTCAGAATGAATGAAGCTGGAAGAAGACACTGAGAAGAGCAGTTTTTATTGTAGCTAACATCTTTTGCATGGAGAATGATAGAAATAGAAATGTTACATTGGCTTATAACGAGCTTTTTTGACATGAAGAGAAGCTAATACACACTTTACTATTATCAAAAGACCACCAAGGTAGAGAGACCTTCTTATGTTATTGCAAATCAACAACACTATATCCTAATTAAACGGAGAAGAAACAAACTTCAATCAGAAAAGAAAAAGAGAAACATAATATGACATTTGCAGAGAACTAGTGCCCGTTCTCCACTGCCTTTGTCCTTGTTATGACAGGAAGGTCTTTATGGGTGTAAGCGACCCCATTGTCTCCATCCACCACTTGTCCTTTTCCTCTCATTATCCTGTCATTCACCACCAAAACCAATTCAAAACCTCACAGATGTTTTTAACAAATCAATGACCAGAGGGGAAGACAAGAGAAATTGAATAGTACCATCTTGTAGTCAATAATCCTTCGACTCCAACTGGACCACGGGCATGGATCCTGCTTGTGCTTATTCCCACCTATACATAAGAACAAGCTCAACATTAGCCATTCATTCAATGACACTTTTCTATTCATAAATGTCTCTCTCTTTGTCCTACCTCAGCACCAAGTCCAAATCGAAAACCATCACAGAATCTTGTGCTTGCATTGTGGAAAACAGCAGCACTGTCAAAATGTTAAAAGAGTTTAGTTTCCAATATATTCTAGGAACCGTAGAATTCAACACCACAAGATGCTCAAGTACGTGTGCTATTATTACCTGTCCACTTGGCGGAGGAATATCTCTGCGACTTCTTTATCTTCTGTCACTATGCAATCAGTGTGTGCACTGCTCTCACAATACAAGACAAAAAGTAAGTGACCACACTTATTTTCGAGCACATGCAAAGAATACAGAGAGGTAGGCCCTTTGAAGAGTTAAGTTGGGTTCAGAAATAATTTTACCTTCCATGTAGGTGAATATGATCAATAGCACTATGTACGTCTTCAACAATTTCAACGGTGCAGGCCTTGGAACTGTACTCGTGACGAAATGATTTTGTTTCCGGAATGTTCAGTTTACCACTTGCTTTTGGCCCACCATACAAAGTGACACCTGCCAGTTTGATGCGTACACTTCCAAGTTAAAACAAAATATCTCTAATGAAGCTTATTAACAAACTAAATCTCATCTTATATTCATGGTATGAAACACACATACTTCATGTATTCCTAAACTACAACTCTTACCATTGGCTTGCAGGGCGTATATAATCTCGTTGAGCACACCATTCTGCTCTAGATCCTTATGTACAAGAAGGGTTTCCTGTTAGGACAAGATTAACAGAGAAGATGAAGTGAGACGAGATATGCTAAGTGAATATTATAGAAAAAATGTAAGTCTCTAACCATGGCGTTACAGGCTGCTGGATAGTCTAACTTTGCATCTGAAACTACACGCTTTGCCATGTCCACGTTACAAGACTTGTCAACATACACATGACAGATACCATCTGGAAACACCAAAAATGTAAGTCGTAATCTCTCTAGGCAAATCTATGAACTTAATGGAACTGAACTTTTAAACGCACCAGCATGCCCTAGCACTGGGATTTTCGTCGAGTTTTTTATCTGAGAAACAAGCTTGTTGCTGCCTCTTGGGATCACAAGATCAATGACATCATCAAGCTGTAGCAGAAATGCAAATGGTGGATTCAAGGTTAAGTAAAAAAAGAGCTAATTACTTCTAATGACTTGCCATTCATATATCTACTTACCTTGAGCAAATCAGGAATCTCCTCTCTCGAAGTCACTAATCCTATGAGTTTACCTCCAACAGTCTTCGGAATTGCATCAGTGATCACCTGTAGTTTTTCCATGAATTTTCAAAAATTAGCCAAACATATCTTAGGAACCAAGATGATGACTACAATGGAGTCGATGCAACCTTGTGTAAGATAGCATTTGATCGACGAGCCTCTTTTCCACCCTTCAGCAGAAGACCATTACCACTTCGGATTGCAAGTGAAGCAATCTATTTGATTTATTGACAGAGCATGATGGTGTTCAGCGATCATAATTTAAATTTTTAAGAGAATAAAACACAATGACTAGTGACATACCTGAACAAGTGCATCAGGACGGGACTCAAAAACAATCAGAAGAACACCTAATGGTGATGAAGTCTTCTCCAAAACAAGACCATCTGCAATCTGTTACATAAGAAATTAATCATCAAGAATAGATAAATTAAGCAAACTTTCTATATTCATGCCCTGTATTTGAAGCCTAGTTTGAATTATTATCTTATAGAGTTATGTCAAATTTTACACTGACCTAATTTTAAAAATTTATACGGTACATGAAAAGTATTGTCCTTAGATTACCTCAGTTTTCTTTAAAACACGGCCAATTGGATCTTCCATTTCAGCTAGCTGGCGAATAGAAGCTGCAAGGCTTGAGATCTATCAAGCACACAAACAAAAAAAGAATGTAAAGAGTAAGAAAATAATTGCTGCAATAGATTTAATCACACAGTGAATAATATATTACCTTCCCAGGCTTCATAACTAAACGAGCTACCAAAGACTCTTCATAACCAGCTTCTTGTGCTGCAGCAACATCTAAATCATTCTCAGCTTTTATTATTTTCTCATTTGCTTCGAGGGCGTTGGCTATATCTAGTAGAATGTTTTTCCTATCTTCAGAAGACAAGGCCTGTTAAGCAAATTGCAAACAAGTTAAGTACACTTACAAACGAGAAACTAATCCGAGTTTACACTTGCATCAAAGCCCTAACATTACCTGAAGCTTTCTAGAACTTTCCCTTGCAGCAACTGCCATATCACGAGAAGTAGTATCTACGACTGGAACCCACAAATGAGCGTCTTGGTGGAACAGGGTACCAACACGCAGTCCTCTAAGAACTTTAGCTATATTCTCAGCTGCATACCCACTTCAAAGAAACAAATAGCACCAAAAATGTGAGCTTATTGATCACTCCCTTCTAGAAAATGATGCTAAATGATAAGCAAAGAGCTTTTACCTGGTTATGATAACAGGAATGCCACCATAAGCTGCATTAACAGCAGCTTTAACTTTTGCAGTCATACCACCTCGTCCTAATCTCGACTTCTCGCCAAAGGTAATCTCCTCCTGGTGTTTTTCTTTAATGTATGTGTGGATTAACTTTGACTTAGGATCGCTTGGAGGACCAGTATAAAGACCCTCAACGTCACTAAGAAGAATCAAAAGATCAGCTTTCAGCTCCAGCGACAGTAGAGCAGCTAAGCTGTCATTGTCCCAAAATATACCAGTAGAATCCTGCATAGGTAAAGCTTATAAGAGGCAGTCTTTAGAGGAATCTAAGAAAGGCAATCAACAAACCAACCTTATAAGGGGCTTTTCGAGTGCTAATAGCATCATTCTCGTTGAAAACTGGAATAACTCTCATTTTCAGCATAGCTTTGACTGTCTCACTAAGCTGCTTTCTGAAATCTTTATCTCTGAAACTGCTATCCGTCACTAGCATTTGAGCAACAGTCACATCCAACTAACAAACAAAAAAAGGAAACCACACATAAGTATATGAAAGGAACCTTACCAATAATCAAGTAAAAAAAAGAAGGAAAGAGGGATCATCACCTGGTCAAACATAGTCTCATAGTAAGCCATGAGACTGCTCTGTCCAACACCAGCACAAGCCTTCCCATCAAGTTCAGTTTGTGGCTTCTGAAGGTCTGCAAAGCTGAAGAAAAGAAGGAATACGTTATTACCAATGTCCCTGAGACTCAATTTGAACACCATAAGCAAACTTAAGAGATGTTTTTTCAATGACAAAAACCTGCTGTTGACTAATTGTCTGTATTTAAGCCTTTGACGACCAAGTCCAACCGCACCAGAAGACACCAAAATGACCTCAAATCCATCCGAGTTCAATTCCGCAAGCTGCCATTATATATTTTGAAGGATTTTAAAGAGACAAGTATACACAAAACAGAGCTTAAATCAAGAACTGATGTTAAATTCAAAATCAAGAAAACCTGCTCGCAGATAGCACCTAAGCGGCCAAGAGCCAATCTTCCACCTTTCCCAGTAACTACTGCTGTCCCTACCTGTCAACAATCCAATCAAGGAATCAAATTTTTGCAGATTTAGTAAACAAAAAAAAATTAAAATAAAAAAAAAGGAGAAAAAGTTTCAATTTTTATATTTAAAAAGGAAACAAATTTGTTAATGTTTCTTTCCACATTTCCACAGATTTCTCCGCAGCCATTAACATCAAATAAAGGAATCAAATTTTTGCAGATTTAGTAAAAAAAAAGATTCAATTTTCAAAATAAAAAGGAAAAAAAGTTTCAATTTTTATCTTAAAAAAAGGAAACAAATTTGTTAATGTTTTTTCCACATTTCCACAGATTTCTCCGCCGCCATTAACATCAAACAAACAAAGCAGAGTTCGAAACTATTAAATGATCAAAAAGCTTTAGCAAAAAGAATTGGAACCTTGACAACTATTCGCTTAACGTCTTTGGCGAAAGCGCGGGAACGATCCATCTCCTCCTCCATATCAAAACAAGAAAGAGAGAGACAAGAGCGAGTCAACTCGGTCGGGCTGAGTCACCACCACGAAGAAGACGAGGAGGACGTGAGGAAGATAATCGGGTGATGGATTGGAGAGATATCAAGTGGGAAGAAGCGAGTAGGGGGGTTTTAATAAGAGCGTTTTACG